AGTTTTTTTTTTCGAAAACTGTTTTTTACGAAAGTATGCATATTCGAATGCAGCCTAAGAATTGTTCATTAAAGCATCCCTTATTTGTTGGCTGTCAATATTTTTATATTTATATAAACTGAAAATTCATTGAAGCTCTAGCAGTAGACGTTTTTATGATAAAATGCATAAAAATAAAAATGTGAGATGTTGAAGCAGAGATGTGTTTGATGAGATTGATCATTGGCAGTGTTACTTTATTATAGTTATATTATATTTGTATTAATATTTTGAATTAGCTTTGGTTTTATATTTTCTGTTTTCAATTTAATTTTAGTTACATTGAGTAAGTTTGTTATGTGTTTGTCATGTTTCTTAGGTTTTGTTTTAAATATTAATATCTTTTACATATTAATTAAAAAGTTTTGATTAATTATTTTAGTTTTTATTTATTTACAGTTAGTAATTTTAGTGCTTCAACTTAAAGGGGTGACTGAGAAATTAAATTTCTCTTGATCTTTTAACAAGGGTCAGTGTACTAAAAACATCCTGTAAGTTTCAGAACTCAAAACTTTCTTGTTAGTTCAAAAACAGCTTTCATTGTGAGTGACGTGACATGTGGCCAAGTATGGTGACCCATACTCGGAATTAATGCTCTGCATTTATCCCATCCAAAGTGCACACACACAGCAGTGAACACACACACCGAGCAGTGGGCAGCCATTTTTTTGATGTGTCGCCCGGGGAGCAGTTGGGGGTTCGGTGCCTTGCTCAAGGGCACCTCAGTCGTGGTATTGAAGGTGGGAGAGAGCACTGTACATTCACTCCCCCCACCTACAATCTCTGCGGGTACAAGACTCGAACCCGCAACCTTTGGGTTACGAGTCCGACTCTCTAACCATTAGGCCACGACTTCCCCTAAACCAAGCTTTCATTGAAACCAAGCTGCCAAAACGACTCATTTTGGAATGTCACATTATGACGTCATAGTGCAACGAAAGACCGCCTGTGCAGAAGAAAATCATTGTCTACTTCTACATTATTGCCTCTTCAGCCCTACCTACTGATCGCGCATGTAGTAGGAGGAGAGGAAATTAACATTAGGAAAGAGCTCCAGATCGCGTCAGTGAAGCACTGTTTGTTTGCTTTTACTTTACTGCATTTTTTTTTAACAAGACAGTTCGACGCAGGCTTTTCAGAGAGACTGAAAGTAAAAGATGATGCAGTGCTAAGTCTGATTATATTAGATCCAACAGTAATGTCACAACAACACATAATTGTGAGTAAATGTGTTTATACCACTATTGCATTGTCTGTTACAGGTCCTTTGATATATACTGAGTATTTATAAGTTTTTAACCCAAATGAACCATGTTGTTTTCAGAGTATGTCACAGCAGTTGTCTATCTATTATTTTAATATGCAAAACTGTTAACCAGTCAATGCAGTGAGCATTTACTTCCAAGTCTTGAATGCACCCCGCCAATAAAAACAGACTGTTCTGTGGAGAGGGTCAAAAACAGGATACAAAATAGCTTATTACTTTTTTTTTATGTAAAAGTCTTGCTAACATTATAAGTGGACCTCACAGAACATCATAAAATAATAATAAAATGCAGTTCATGACCTCTTTAAACTTATTTCAGTTAGTTGGCAAGGCAAAATTTCTCATTTTTGTTTCAGTTTTCATCTATTAGTTATTTCATCTATTAGCTATTAGTCCAGTATCAGATGCTCATCACCCAATCAGAGCCCTCGATTAAACAAACCCATCACATGACAAAGCTCCTGAAAAGACTCTGTATTTGAGAGTGACCTTTCCTTTGTTACTGCTGCTGTTCCGGCGCTGGCGCTCCAAGGGACAGTAAATCACCCATATAGCCTTGTGCCAACAGACTGGAGCGGCACACAGCTCTACATTTACTTTATTACTGCAGTCAGTCCACATGCAGATGCTGGAGTTACGAGCTCACGCTGGAGACCAGGAGACGATGGAGCAGCCGGTGTTTGAGTGTGTGTGCGACAGTGTGTGTGTGTGTGTTCAGGTATTCCCTATGTTATGGGAACAAAATGTCCCCACAAAGATGGCAAAAGCCTTGTCTTTGTGGGGACATTTTTTGGTCTCCATGAGGAGAACAGCTTAAAAATCATACAGTATGACGTTTTTTTTTAAATCTAAAAATACAGATTAATATAGCATATATTAAATATAGCAGTTTTCACTCTACGTCTCCCAATAATATATGTCTTAGTAAGATGATATTTAAATGCTTTGATGATCAAAACATATAATGCAATGCAATACAATGATGACTGAAAGATGAACAAATAAATGTTCCTCAAAAGCCTGACCATATTTGATACTGATTTTCAAAAAAAAAAAAAAATGTCTGGATAATCAAGTAAAGCTAAGCTGCTTCAGTACAGGAAGTGTTCATCTTGAAATATTACTAACAATATCTAAGTTAGTTCTTACGTTACTTCATAAAAATCAGTAAAGATTTCACAGCAAAAAATTAATGAATGAATGAAGCATTTATGTAGCGCTTTATTGTGTATTGCTGATTATTTGGAGACCATGATTGACAAGGGCCAGGACACTGGGGATACACCCCTACTCTTTATGAGAAGTGCTATATATAGAAGGCTATATCTTTAACACCAAGCATTTCTGCAGACTCTGTTGATCTTCTCCTTGATTCCTTTAACTCAAAAGTTAAGAATGTTATTGATGATATTGCTCCTGTGAAAGTCAGCAAGAAGACTAGCAGACAAAAATCAGCTTGGAGAAAATCAACAGCAGTACAGAATATGAAGAATGCGGAAAAGCTGAGCGGATGTGGCGGAAGACGAAACTTGAAATTCACTATAGCATCTATAAAGACATGCTTTCAATGTGGAACTAGCCACAGCTAGACAGTTTCTTCTCAAACCTTATAAACAGTAACTTCAACAACACTGAGAGACTGACAACCCACCCCCCCCTTTAATGTGGAACTAGGCAAAGCTAGACAGTCATTCTTTTCAAACCTTATAAACAGTAACTTAAACAACACTCGCATTCTTTTTGCTACTGTTGAGAGACTGACAAACCCCTCAAGTCAGATTGTCAGTGAAATGCTCTCTGACAGCAAATGCAATGAGTTTGCTTCCTTCTTTTCTGAGAAGATCATTAATATCAGGAAGGCGATTAGCATATTCTCAAGTTATGCAGAGGTCAGACAGATTCGACCGCATTATCAAAAAGAAGATACTAAGTCTATTTTTAAAGCAATTGATAGCAAAATTTTGGAAGAAATTGTGCAGCACCTAAAATAGTCAACCTGCTATCTTGACACACTTCCCACATCTTTTTTCAAAAGGGTGCTCAACTGTTTGGAAGCAGATCTCTTAGAAGTGGTGAACGCCTCACTTCTTTCTGGGACTTTTCCAAACTCCCTGAAAACTGCAGTTGTTAAACCCCTTCTGAAAAAGAGCAATCTTGATAACACCAT